GTTACAAATCTCACCGATCAAACACTAAAATAAAGCTCTAGATCTCTCACAAATCTCCCACAATTGGATGCAACAATCCTCTCTCAAAGTCTGCTCAAAATCGTCCTTGCTTAACCTTAATTAATCAGGTTTAGGGTTATATATCAACTCAGAAACGAACCGGGTCAAAAACCAAAGCCCAACCCAAACTGCATCTGCGGTCGACCGCGGCGGTGACCTCGCAGGTCTCGCGGTCGACCTCGGCGGTCGACCGAACCACAAACCCGAGAGTGAAATTGATTACAGTCATGGCGCGGTCGACCGGGCGGTCGACCGTACTGATTTCCCGAGAGTAAATTCGCTACAGGGTCCTTGCGGTCGACTGCCTTCAGCTCCGAATCCTACTGGCCTTCGTGCACGTTCGCGGTCGACCGCCAGTCTGCCTGGCTGTTTCTTCAGCTGTTTTCCTGCACTCTCTCGTCGTGCACGTTCGCGGTCGACCGCCAGTCTGCCTGGCTGTTTCTTCAGCTGTTTTCCTGCACTCTCTCGTCATTTCTTCAGTTTGTTACTCTCGCGTTGTGTTAGCACTCAGGACTTCACAAGAGGATTCTCTACCAGATTTATAAATTTGAGAGAGTTTTCTGCAAAACCCTCAAAAGCTCATTAGAGTTTTTCAATCCTTTTTCTATAAAAAATGTTAAATAGAGGAAAAGTTAAAACGTCTGCGCCACCAAACATCCAAATAAACCCAAAACACTATCATCAAGCAGTAGAGTATCCTGGCACCGCAATCGCATTGAGCTCTTGATAGCCATTAAAAGATTCTCAGGAGCCAGTCAAAATTTGAGTGAAAATAGCAATAACACTGTGTAGGTAAAGCCAACCACCTCTCTTTTCACTCGTCTCTATAACAAATAAAATTCCCAAAAATGACTGCTGCTTCGTCATCAGTAAAAAATTGAAGGAAAGATGACAAAATATGAAGAAGACTTTGCCTCTGCTCTTGCTACATGCATCATCATAATTTATTTTTATGGGCCCTTGCATGACTCCATGTACACATTACTTGCATCATTTTTATTTTTATTTATTAATTCATTCAATGCAATCAGAGGAGGAGGAGAGAGAAAGTACTTTCTCTGCGGCAGAGGGTGCAGAACATGGAAGAGGCAAAACAGTATATCACTATCCATGAGTAAGCAACTTATATTTGAATTTAGAAAAATGTAAGAAAATCAGAAGTACAGGTTGGATCATGCAATATGCTCCTTATGTTACAGTTAGTTTCATTTCAAATTCTTCATTGTTTATTTGTAATGTATTCTTGCAACAAACTTCTTCACGTGTGTTGCACGTACGTATTTAAATGCGGACGAATTTTCAAAACCAACATATTTCCACATTTAATCCCAAAAAAAGACCTGTTTTGAACTTCTTTTCAAAAACCAACCTGGTTTCAGTCCTGACGCTGAAACCAGGTCGGTTTTTGAAAAAAAAATTCCGGAACTTCACGGGAGTTCAGTAAATCTACTAAACTTCATGGGAGTTGAACTCCCGTGAAGTTTCATATTTAAAAAAAAATTTGAACGGGAGTTGAACTCAGGTCGGTTTTTACAAATAAGTTCAAAACAAGTCGTTTTTTGTGATTAAATGTTCAAATAGGACGGTTTTGAAAATTTGTCCATTTAAATGCCATTAGATTCATGGTTATCACTTATTAGAGCAACTCCAATCGTCCGCGATATCTTCATTTTGGAGCCGCGAATATTTCCAACCGAACTGCATATTTTACAGTTAGCTGCAAAATCGGAGATTGAGGCTGCAAATTTGAAGATTTCTCTCCAAATTTGTAGCCAACTCTATACTACTATTCCCAAAAAAAATACCAAAGTTAACCCTCAATCTCTTTAACAACATTTTATTATTCCAATTGTATCCCGTTATTATTTTTTATAGTTACTTAAAATCTGTATATATATATATTAATATATTAAATATTTTTTAATAAAAATAATATCATTGGAAATGTCTCGTCGATACCTTCAAAATGAGACTAATATCGAAATATAAAATTGCAAAACAAGTAATTAGAAATGATAATACATTGGAGCTTAAACTGAAATAAAACACATTAACTTAGAATTACATCGAAATTTTAATAAAAAAAAGTTACATCACTTCATTGCCGTGTCTCTCCCACAAATGTTCAATTAATGCATTTCGAAGTGCGAAGTGTGCTTCTTTGTCTTTGAATTTCTTATGTCGGGTCAGGAATTGTCGGAACCGTTCGGCATCGTTCGTCCCTATGTCTTCAACATTTGAAATTGATGGTGGAGTAGAAACGATAATATCTTCTTGCTCATCACGTTCATCCTCAATAATCATGTTGTGCATTATTATGCAAGTGGTCATGATATCATGCAAAGTTCGTTTATCCCAAAACCGTGCAGGGCCCTTGATTATAGCAAATCTTGACTGGAGAACACCAAACGCGTCGGTTTTTGAAAATTTTTTTCCCAAACTTCACGGGAGTTGAACTCCCGTGAAGTTTTTCTCATAACAAAACTTCACGGGAGTTCAACTCCCGTGAAGTTTGGGAAAATTTTTTTCAAAAACCGACCTGTTTTCAGCCCCTGGGGTCGGTTTTTATAAATAAGTGTGAAATGGGTCGTTTTTTGCAATTAAAAACCCCAAAGGGTCGGTTTTGAAAATTTGTCCTAAGACGGAGAGATGTAGGAATCTTTTCGCTCCTTATTTCTTAAGGTTTAAAAAAAAACTAAATTTATATCTAATGCTACAATGTAAAATGCTAGCAATTTTCGATAACACATGAGAAACTCTCTCATTTGTTAAAAGGTGGGAACAATGAAATGACATCTATACTCACTGGAGTTTGTTTTACAAGCTAGAACAATGTACACTCTACAACCATATTCAAATGTCATTTGGTTAAAAAAAGTTATCAGACGATGTTATGAATTGGATTTGTTATTTTTCTGTTCTAATTCAACTATGAAAAGAAACAACACCAGGATGAAAATATAAAAAATAATCATATTTTTAATTATTATTTTTTAGGTAATATATTAAGATGAAGAGATAAAAGAATCTTTTTTCAGTTGGATGCATAATTTATTGTTTGTTAAATTTTACAGACTTAGGACATGTTTGGTAACTCCTCAAAGTGGGGCCAAGTTTTGAGTATGATTTCATTTTGAGAAAAGATGCGTTTAAGCAAGATAGAGCAACATTGGTCCATTTTTTTAAGGCGAGGATTGGTCCTTAAATTTGGTTTTATTTTGGACCACCTCTACCTGGACTAAAATAAAATCAATTTAGTTTAAAATTGTGCGAGGATCAATCTTGGCCTAGGTTTTGGTTGTTTGTCAAACACACTTTTAATTTAAGGCGTAATGATTGTGCAATACAATCATATTATAGTTAATGGTACAGCTCACAGTAAAATGTTTAGAGTACGTTTGTAAGATTAGCATGCCGCTTGCATAATCGTGAATTAGGTTAATAGTTATCATGTGATATGAAGAATTAAATTAATTATTTTTCGTTCTTATCCAACTAATGGCAAAAATAATATTCATTGTGCTTTTTTTAAAAACCATTTAAAAAATAATACAGTAAGACCAAGAGATGCAGGAGCCCATTTTTTTAATTGAATGCATAATTTCTTACTTGTTAATTCTTAAAGAATTAATTGAAAGCGCAAATAGTCGTGTATTAATACAGTTAGGTTATAGCTATAATGAGACAACTCATAATAAAACGTTACCGCCAAGTCCATTACCTGCTTGTCATTATATTTTTTAGTTTGTAAAGTATGCTTAAAAAAATCCAACCACGATACTAAATTTACATATATCATCACCATCAAGAACTACGCATATATTTGTTGAATATATAAAAAAACCAGTGCATGGTCTAAAAGTTTTAGTTATTAACCCCTTGCACTTGAAAAATAAAAGAGTCATAGAGTGTGTTGTACTGCTCTTGCAAATTATTGAATAAAAACACGTGATTTGAAGATTTCCAAGGAGTATTACGCTAAACTTCCACTGAAAATACCCAAACTTTATTTTAAAGTGGCAAAGGAGCCCCCATCGTCCTCAATATTTAATAAAAATAAAACACAGGCAGAAAAACGCAAAATTTCCCCCACACACAATTACATCGACAACAATATAAGGCGAGGGGGGAAAAAGCAAAACTCTCACTCACTCCCTCAACTCCTCACTCGCCTCCCACCCTCCCCCCCCCAAATTCCCAAGCCCTAAAAATACCATCTTTCTCCTAAAAATAAATAAATAAAGTTAGGGTTTCCTCTCCTGAGATCACCGCCCCTTAATGCGGGACGAAGAAGAGGAAGAGGGTTCAAATTAGGGTTCGGGTTAGGGTCCTCCGCGTCCCAAGCTAGGGTCTTTCTAGGGTTTTGAGAAATGGCGATT